GTTCATGGAGTCTCGGATTTTTTATCATCGCTGCTATTATATTTGCACTTAGAAAATAAAAGTTCTTGTTCAGTATATTATTTATTGAATTGACAATAAAAGTTTAACATCTTTCTTAATAATGTTTTACAGCTCTAGTTTAGGTGTGTGTGTGTGTCTGAAGAGTTCAAGAATTCTGACAACCACATTTATACTCTCGATCTCAATTGCCGAACCAAGAACATTATTAGATCTCTACTGCCTACAACAACATTAACGCTGATAGGTCATATCTATTTAAAAAAATCATGCCCTTTATTGTTTTCATAGAAATTAAAGAACAAGGTCTTTTACAATAAATACCCGATTTCCATGAGTGCCCATGTTACAAAAACCGGATCAGTTTTAGCGGTAAACCGCGGTTTACCGCGGTTCGCCATTAAAAAAATACCGGTTAACCGGTAGGGAGCCGGTAAAGTGAGAAAAACCGCCGGTTTACCGCGGTAAACCGGAAAAAGTAGCGGTTCACCGCGGTAAACCGGAAAAAAGTAGCGGTTTACCGCGGTTTTTCTTTGTTAAGGAGCCGGTAACCGGACCGGTAAAACCGCGGTTAACCGCCGATTTTTGTCCGGTTTTCATCACATGGGTGAGCTATCAAAAACAAATTGTCAGAATAAACCTTATAAGCACTAGTATCACATACTTGTGAGTTATATTTCTATTATACAAATTAAAACGTCGATCCTATTTACGTTAAACTTCGTAATCTTCTTATTCTATTAATGACATACATTTAGCAGTGAATATAAGAATATCAAAAATGTATTTTGATTGATTTCTTCGAACTACTAAAAGTGTGTTGCGTAAGAAAAATGAAACACTTAAAATCAAATCCAAATCATACGAAAAGTTAAGGAGTCGAGATTGGCGACACTAAGGAATATTGGCGCACAGTAGATACAGGCTGTTCGTCAAGGTTTATTTTAGTAAACGTCGACAGAAAATAGAAAGATACGGTTTCTTTTACAAAATAGCTGTCGAAGCAGTTTTCAAAAAAGAATCTAGTAGGTGGTGAGAGGGGGGTGGGTGTGGGTGAGAGAATATGACCCATAATCACACCCACACCCACCCTACACCCACACAACCTTGCCCCACCATTGTGCGTTTATCTGTTGAGGAGTGTACAGTTCAAGATATATTCTATCTTTTTGTTCTCGCTCCCAATTTGACCAGTCTGAATATCAAAGAGTTCATACCTATGTATGATTTTTTTATTATTACTTTACCCTCTTAAATCTTATCCAGCAATCTACCCGTCTAGTTTGATTACATAGGAATAACGATGGGGTTGACGATCATTGGTGTCTTAATTCTATCAAAAATTTAATTTATTGTTATCAGTCGTCTCTCGAATATGTGACTTTGATTATCTATACTAACAAACTTGTAATCAATGGAGATTATTTGAAAGAAATATTTGAACAATGTTGGCGTCTAAAAAAGCTGTTAGCGCAATCCCTTGCGGGATTAAAAATGTGAAACACGATGCAGCTGCTATAGCCAGTATTTTAAAAGCTGTTGTTTTTTTATGCATACTGATGTGCATTTCTTCATAATGGCTTCCCTTACATCATATAATTTCAACAGTATAATACTCCATATATACTTCAATCAGATGTTAGTTATGCAACATATCTGATATTTCCTTAAGGTCCTCTATCACAGTCTATAATGATCCCTGATTCTTGTCTGTCACGGTCTGTGACGGGTCCAAAATCTATCTGTCACAGCCTGTGATGGGTCCAAAGCCTGTCTATCGCAGTCTGTCATGAGTTCAGAGATCTGTCTGTCAGAGTCTTTGATGGGTCCAAAGCCTGTCTGTCACGGTCTGTGATGGGTCTAGAGCCCTGTCTGTCACGGTCTGTGATGGGTCCAAAGCCTGTCTGTCACGGTCTGTGATGGGTCTAGAGCCCTGTCTGTCACGGTCTGTGATGGGTCTAGAGCCCTGTCTGTCACGGTCTGTGATGGGTAATTAGTTAATTAAATAGTAATTAATTAATTAATTAATTAGTTAGTTAGCTAATTAGTTAAAATGTCTGTCACGGTCTGTGGGGGGGAGGGGGGGGGGGGGGGGTCCAAATTTCTACCCCTAAACACTTCAACACTCCTTTCAGGTCGTGTTTCACAAAAGCTAGAATTTACTACTACATGCGAGGATAAAGGAACTGATACAATTCAGCTATTCAGTCAGAATGTGGGGGTGGGTGTGGGTTTGGTTAAACAGAATATCAACTGCCACACCCACACCCTTCGTCAAAAAAGTAAATATTTTTGGGTTACAGTGTTCGCTGGTTGACGACATTCGTGGGGATATTCGCTAATTGGCAAAAATGCAGTTAGCGAAAACAGGAATTGACGATAAGCTTTCGCTCCATATTCTCAACGAGTTATTAATAAAGCGTTTTTTTTATTAATTTCGAATAGAATCAAGATGAAAAAAAAACATAATAAAGAGAAAGGGATATAGAAAGCATTTGTTTTTACAATGAACAATATTTCGAAGAGGAAACGGACAAATCGATAGAAGCAGAAGAAAAAAAGTAATGGAAGAATGTACGGGTACAAAGGGGATCGCCGATAGAACATCTTACTTTGAACGTTGATTATCGATTCTATGAACCTTCTTGATCAAACCCTTGCGTAAATGCTTTGTATGCTAATAGATCTGTTTTGTTCATTGCTGGTTTTTGTGTAGCAAGAGCAGCTAACATATCCGACTATATAACAATACAAATTATAGTTGGTGTCAGAAGTAAAAAAAAAAGAAAAACTCTAGGACGAATATGTCGAAAACAAAAACAGCTAGAGGCCGGTGATGTTCACCATTCGAAAGAGCGACGTCGAGGGCGTCTCTCTGTTTAAGATTCATCAGACTCGAAGAGTTTTTTGATGAAAAGTTTTAGTCTGGCATTTTTTCGTTGTTGTTTTTCATGAATAGTTACAATAAACTCAACTCAAATTATATCAATATATAACCAAAACCACCCTGTAGTCGCTATAAAATGACTGTATTTTTAAAGAATCTCATTGAGAAAAGGGGTCGAATAGACAATACAAAGATCAGAGAATTTTATACAGACTACAGGGCCATTTGGACTGCATTTTGATACAATTTAAGTTGAGTTTATTGTAACTATTCATGAAAAACGACAATGAAAAAAATGTCAGACTAAAACTTGTCATCAAAAAACTCTTCGAGTCTGATGAATCTTAGACAGATAGACGCCCTCAACGTCGCTCTTTTGAATGGTGAAAATTGCAGGTCTCTAGCTGTTTTCGTTTTCGAGATATTCGTCCTAGTGTCTTCCTTTTTTTTCTTTACTTCTGGCGCTGACTATAGCATTCATTTCTTCGCTTAACAATTTATAAATACTCACCATGGCTACTGGTGGATCGCATAATTCATCGGATCTTATTTTATCTAATTTAAGTTCTTGAGCATCTGGGTCTCCTGGTGAACAAACAAGCCAACGGCGGCAAGGACCATCAGGTTCTGGATTTGTTACCTGCGTCGAAATCATGGAATTAGCAGATGTGTAACAATGATGGTAGAATATTTACTCGTTTGAAATGAGTTGCTGAGTGAAGTCATCGAATAGGTCTTAGTAAAGCTTCTTGACAAACAATAGCAATGTCAGCACCCGAATAACTAAACTCAAACATTGTTATCTTCTATTCAATGAAAAGAAAAAGAAAATATACTGTTCAGCTTTTTGTGCTAATTTCATCCATTCATGATCTTTTATTGTATGATAAGTATTAATACCTAAATGTGTCTTAAACATAGCTGCTCTTTCTTACACACCGAGTAGTAGGAAATAGATACGCTTTTGAAAACTGAAAAAAAACTTCGAACAATAGATAGAATATCTAATTTTCATGTGAACTATACCGTCGTCGAAAAGCAGTATCCAATGCCCAAGGAATACTGGTCTCAGCAAGAATAATAACATCCGAATTATCAGTTTCAACGCCTAATACAACATCACAATATACGATTAATTCATTCGAATGATAATACAAAGAATAAAATACCTTGAATTTGAATAAGAAATTCCGTTTTGACACGTCTTGAAGTTTCAGTCTCTGTATAATCACGCTGTCCACACAGAGCATCGATTCCGTTGATAAATACAACACATGGTTGCCGTTCACGAGCAAGTTCAAATAAAGCCTTCACATCTTTTTCACTTTCACTCTGCCATTTCGAAAGAAGGTCCGACGAACTCACCGAAATAAATGTACCTTGACATCCAGTAGCAATGACTTTAGCTAAATAGGATTTCCCAGTACCAGGAGGCTAGAAAAAGAAAAACAATGAAGAAATGAAATCAAATAAAATAAAATCGCCGAAACTCACTCCGTAAAGTAAAATCCCAGCTCATGGTTTACGTTTACCTAAAAAAGACACTAGAATAATAGAATAGCGCATAATTTAATAGCAAATACTTTCAAAAAATTGTGGAAATTTCACTGTGCAAAATAACAGCTTCTTTTAATGCTTCTTTAGCTTGTTCTAATCCAACTATATCATTAAATGTCACTTTTGGATTAGTTATGATAGTACCTAAAGTAAGAGACGCACATTTATACTTATATTGCAACGGTGGGGATGGCAAATCAAACCTACAAATTTTCGCATCAAACGCTTTATATCTGAATCGCTATTACCATCATCATGATTGTTACCTTTTACATTTCCGCGATCATGAATAGTATCAGCAACAGGTTGTTTTTTAGCTGAACCATTTTTCAAAATTTCTTTTATTTCTTCTGCTCATTTTACATAACTTTCTATTTTGGGTTGCATTGTTTGTTTCATTTGGGTGTTCATCGCTCCATCTAAAATTCAAACATGGTTTTAAATAAGATTAACATTATTTACTAACATTTCATTGCGTGCATAAGCAAATCTGCTGCGGTCACATAATGCCGTGCAGCATTTTCATAATTATGTGCTTTATCTTCAGTGGTAGCTTGTTCGGCACTCCGAATCCCTTTCTAAAGGGAAAAAGAAATACCACGTTTCAACGAAATTCGTTTCAGATTTATTACCTGAAGGTTATCATCTAGACGACTATTCCTCGCTTCGACTATAATTAAGAAAAATATGATTTAAGGGGTCCCCCTCAGAAAATCGAGTGTTTCGGGAAAATATCGAAGTTGAGTTTTTATTACAGGAAGATGCAACGAAGCTTCCTCTTTCAGAATATATGTAGTGTTTTGAAAAATAATCGGGTTTTCAAAGACTTATCACAGGAAACTTTAAATCTACTACCATGTGTTTGGAGGAAATTTCATGGTTTTTCAAGGTTTTCAGTTTCAGAAAAATTGCGCTCCTACTTCCATTTTTATTGAATAGAACACTTTTATATAAACCAGCACGTCAGATAGCGCTAGCTATCTTCATATTTTACGTCCTTCAAAATGGTGCAATGGAATATACCATTGTAATATGGCTTGCTCTGGATTTGAATGAAAAAATCCACTTCTAAAAATTTTTTAGCATTTTTCTCAGAATATGGTTTCTCAGCAGGAAAATTGGAACCACCCCATCCCGGCCTTGGGTATTATTCAATATTTTTTTTTGTTTTAGAGCTCTGAACCAGGGCTAACTTTTCATCAGACGGATTTTTGCTACATTTCTCCTGGGCTGAGAAAAATGGAATTTACTGTCGTTCGAGTGACGTGTTTTTTAGACCTGCCCAGTAAAATGATCATAAAAAATGAATGGAAAGGAGCTTCAAAAATCCGTCTGATGAAAAATTGCGCAGAGAGACCAGCTTTAATTTGATGCAACCCCGAGCTCTCTAGCCTTTACTACGACTGAGTGATTCTCATTCTACTAGGAGTATGAAAACAGGCCGTAAGTTCGATATACTCGGGTGTAGCGAGCTGAAATTTTTATCACAAGCGTATCTCACCAGGACTACTTGTTCCTGAAAGTTTCAGCCCAAATGGTCCGTTTTAGGTGAGAAATCGTTTCTGAGGGAGGGGGGTCCCCTTAACTGTATGAAAAACATTAAATAAATTGCAGAGGAAGTACTCAAGTATTCAACTATTTAAGTATTCAAATACTCAACTATTCAAGTATTCAACTATTCAAGTATTCAACTATTCAAGTATTCAACTATTCAAGTTTCCAACTATTCAAGTTTTCAACTCTTCAAGAGTGTGGGTGTGCGGGTGTGGGTATGTGTGTGGGTGCCTGGGTGTGGT